CCCCCCCTTCTTCTTTTTTAAATGCTAAATAGTGGGTTTGTGTGTAACAACATGTCAGGGATATATTGTATAATCAGAAATGCTTTCTTCTTTCTGTGTGCCTCCCTGTACAACTCCCCCACCCCTTTCTGCTTTGCCAACAATCATATTTAAATTACCAAAAAAACAATAGGGTCGATCTGTAACTGAATTGTCAGGCAGCACACAAAAAGAGTGTTGTTCTCAGCCTGACAGGTTTTAAAACTTCTTTCTACCAAGAAGTGTATGCATTTTAATATATGTTTTTGGATGTGAATCCAATCTTCGCAGCTGGCCCTGATCTTGGAATAATAAAGCCTTTTAAAAAAAACCCCGTATATACTAACATCTCAAACTTTAAGAAAGTTAAGATTTAGCTCTCAATTTACATAAAATGTATGTCTTTGTCCTATCTGTAATTTAGCTGCAGCTACATCAGACCCCGTAGTCCAAAATACTATGTGGCTGGTCTCTGAGGAAAATTAAAGCAAAATACTGAGTAGGAGGAAAAATAATCCCCAAGTGTAACCTTACGTGACATGTGCTGTTAACATACATACATACATATATACACACGCATACATACACTTATGGGGAATGTTTATTTTGTGGTAAGTCAGTATTCATTGTACCAGTATAATGTATTTCCTTTTACTCTTTTCCCCGCAACACGCTGCCTCTCAACAGAGGGGCGGTTGCTTGTGTCAGGAAGGGACCACCTCAGGAACCTCTCTTGGATCAGGAGCATGTCTGCATAAAGCTTTTTGAGGATGTGGATAGGACTCCAAGCGAAAGCTGGTTATTTGGAAGGGATCTGGATTTTAGGTGAGAGAGAAAATGGTAAGGCCTATCCTGGCATTTCCCAACCTAACATTCAAGGGAGAGGAAAAAAGGCTCAAACACCCTCCTGTGGTCCTGTCCTGGACCTGTGCATCATCCGATGTGATTTCTCACACAACTGGCTTCTCCCACAGAGCAAGTACTCAAATAAAGGTAGAACGTCCTCTTCTGGTAGGAGCGAAGACTTGTTAGCCTCCTTTATTCACATCTAATTGTCCTGATTCTCACAAAAAGAAGGGTCTGTTTCTGAAAAAAACCTGCACTTCTACAAAGGTACCCCTCTTTTGCATCTCAGGTATCACATTTAAGGACTTTTCTGGACACCCTTGCATTGTTCCATTTTATAAGCCCCCCCCCCCCCCCTATTTTTTTTTTTCTTTCTTCTTCAGTATAGTGCAATACAAACCTTCAACAGCCTTTTCTGTAGAAATTTCATGTGCTGTTTCTCAGTGTAAAGGAGCATAAAAATTTGGATTACAAAGGTTCATTTCTTGGTTTGGCCACGACTTTTCCATGAAAAACAAACAAACCAATTCTAGATAAAACTAAACTCAAAAATGTGTTAACTGAATTCTCGTATTAGGTAGTGGATATGTGTGGTATTACACTGAAATTATTCCTGTGTATAAGCAAAACTGTTAAACATAGGACTCGTGTTGTATGATATTGATGGGTGTTGTGATTATTAGATGAATACAGGTACACCAAACAGTTATTTTTTTCTTCAAGCTGACTTGAAAGTTGATGTCTGTTTTCGGGTAGTGGGCAACAGATTGAATTAAGAGGTAGTAGGGATCTTACCTAATAAATACTGCTGTAGAAATTGGAAAGGGAATATAAGTTTGGCTGTCAGTAGATATTTGGCAAGTCACATCTGAAAAGCTGTCATCCCTTTTGACCAAGACAGTTGTAAACAGGTATGCTATCTGAAACTTCTCCCTGTGGTTCAGTGGCAAGAAGGAATCGAGCATTGTCAAGAATTCCTCCTGCAGATGAGCAATTTGCAGTTTTAATAATCCACCCTGTGATAGATGCTTAGACTATCTGGAGGGCGCCCTAAAGGTTTAGGCTGATTCATTGTGGTTCACAGGAAGAATAGGAGGGGAGAGTGACTGTGAGTACTCTGATCTTAAGTATGGAAAGTTTCTGGTAGCCTGTGGAGGTTTAGAAGCTCTGCGTGTTTGTGGCTTTGTTCATACCATAGAAAGGGCTTGTAGACAGGTGGCATTCACATTTTACGTCAGATAAAATTGACATATATGTGGTATGAGCCAAACTGACCTCTTTCCTACCTTTTATTGGTGATTCAGGGAGTTGTAACAGAATTGTGTATCCCTCTACAGGTTGGTAAATACTTCCCCTTGTTGTAGGCCAGAACAGGAGAAAGATGCTCCAAAGACATTTCCTTCTCTTGTATTGGCAGTGCCATGAATCAGCACCGAGGAAGTGCAGCAAGCCTTATTATTCAGTATCCATTGCAAACAGGTTGTGATGCGGTAAGATGAGGTTTAATGTGTGAGTGGAATGAAAACAGGTTGCTAAACGAGTTACAAAAGCTTTCCAGGTTATTGAAAACTTGGACAAAAGTACAAAATTCCAGCAGAAAATAGGAGTGGAAAAAACTGTAAGGAAAGTATTAAAATCATTAACTATCTGAGGAAGCTAAATAAAAAATGATGGAGTATACCGATCTATTGCTTTACTGATCTGATCTATTGATACTTTTCTATATAATTTCAGAGAAGAGAAAAGAAATAGAAATATGCACAGACCGTGGAATTTCTAGCAACTGGGGAAAAGATGTGCTATGGAAAAAAAAAAAAAAAGAAAAAAATTAAAAAAAATAGAAAATTTAGTTATTGCTGGAAACTTGCTCTAAATGGCCCTTTAGGATGCT